TTTGGGCTAAATTTTCAGAAATATATAAAAACTTTTTGAAAAGTGGGTTAAATGCAGTTTGAACTTACTGAATAGCATGTACGCTAACTACAAAAAAAAAAAAACTTAACTCTCTTATAAGATGTTTCACTTTTAAAATGTATAACATATAGGGTAAGCCTTCTATGCTTCCCATATAATGTAAAACTTATATATTTCCCCTTATCCAACCGTCCATGCTGAATGGAAGGTTAAGATTGCCCTAATCACAATGTCACCTCTCTACACTATTCATTTTAAATTTCTTTCTATGAACTATTTTGAGACAAAGTTTTGCAGGTCCAATCCTCTATTAAACTCTCACTAGCAAAAAAATATAAAAAAAATATTTTCAATAAAATAAAATAACCAAAATACGTTTGAAAGTTTCAATGGGTATTTTGGTCATTATATTTTTTGAAAAATTATTTTTAATATTTTTTATAGGTGTGCCCCAATGAGAAGATAGCATATACAAAATATCATATTCATAAAATTTGTATAAAAAAAGCTAAAAATAAAATATTTTAAGACGTTGGATCTAAGATCAAACGATGAGTGGCTCTCTTGATAAAAAATGGACAGCTGGATGGTAGGGGAAGCATAGAAGATCTATGCTATAGGGGAAGTATATAAATCTTTCCCTAATAGATATAGGGCAGTGATTTCATGCAACGGTTGCATAATAATATAATGCAACAATATTCAAAAACTATATTAGGGCCATTTGTTTGATCTAAAATTTAAAATATACACTCTTTTCATTCTAATGAACAATCACAAAAAAGAAAAATTTGAAAATAGAATTTAGAAAGTATTTTTTTAGTCCAATTAACATAGAGCGTCCATTTTGATAAAATGGTTAGATTTAGGCCTTAGAAGGATTTTTTCTTTTTCAATTTTTTTAGATGGTTTTGTTATCATTAGATGAACAATGTTAAAAAAAAAAGAAAAAAAAAGTGATTTTGAGTTTGTAAAGGTTAAGATCTAGAAATTTACCAAATAAATGGTTTAGATTCGTTTTTGGAGGGATCTCATTTTGACTATATCTAGCGTTCAAATCCAACTTTTGTGTTTAGGGATTGATTATTGAGATGAAGAGAGAGTGGGTACAAAATTTTGAGTCATACAAATACCACAAACATGGATTTTTAGAAGTGTGGTTGCATTATATTATGATACCACCGTGGCATGAGATCACTGGCCCAAATATATATGTTTTTAAAAAATTATCAAAAACTCTCTTTCTCTTTCCTAACCACAAAACTAGTGTCTCCCCTTCAAAAAAAAAATAAAAAAATAAAAAAAAGAACAAAAACAAAGAAAAAAAAATCCAAAAAAGAAAAAAAAAAACAGAGATCTAGCTTACAGTCTTTGTACAGAGTCAAGCCTACTCCCCCTCTCTCTCTAAATCCACATCGGGTTGGGTGTTTACATTGGTGCTTCTCTCTCTAGATCCACATCTGGTTGGGTGTTTGCCTTGGTGGGGCATGTGTTTGATGGTGTAGTAAGACAAAAGTGCAAGATGGAAGCAAAATATATTGCATTATATTATTGCTTCTGATAGGCAAATATTATTGAGGCACTTTCTTAGTGAAGTGCTATTAGCCAAGTTTGAGCATGGGCGTACATTTATCTATTGAGGTAATAAAGCGGCAATAGCCCCATTTCTAAAACTGAATGTGCAATCAAAGGCTCCTAAGAAAAAATCACTCCATTAGATAATTTCCGGAAAATATGGAGGTAGAAATTAGTTAACTTCCTGGTTAATTAATGATTGCCGATCCACTAATAAAGAGTATATAATGCTTGCTGATCTACTAATAAAGAGTATTCATATAGATCCGTTTGAGAGTATAGCACCCATGGGACTTGGATGCATTGATGGTTCATCATGGTATCAACCAGAGTTTTACGACTCGAATGAGGTCACTCGGGCTTGGTCGAGTAATTCGCCCTCACCTTAGGAGCGAGTCGAGTTTTAGGGGAGTGAGGTGTACTGAAACGTTTATTTATATAATACGGGGCAACATTTAATCATTTAAGTTTGAGTATCTCCGTAGGTAGCGCCGACGAATGATTTCCAACGGAATTGGGGTTTGAATCCTCCCAAGAAACATATTGAAAGATTTTT